TCATATTAAGGTTAGTCGATTATCTAAAACTTTCAGATAATGTGGTTGTAATATGTGAATATTGTGCACGTAAAAAGGACGTGTGAAAAGTAAATTTTAAATGAATAAATTACATGTTTGGTTTAATTCAGGGGCGAAGATGATGAAAAGAACAACATCCAAAAATTCAAGGCTGATGTGAGAAAGAAATTTATGAACAATGGATATCGCATTTGGGGCATTTCAGGAGATCAATGGAGCAGCATTGAAGGCCTCCCATCAGCAAAAAGGACATTTAAGCTCCCAAATCCTCTCTACTATGTTGCTTAAAACCTTACAAACCCTTTTTTCCCTTTTTCTTTTTCGTTTTTTTTGCAATCTGTACTTAAAATTGATGAACTGAATTATTTAATGAAAATAAAAATTTGATCAGCTTGTGTGCTGGTTTGATGATATGATACTTTTAAGTCCTTCGAAGGGCAGATTTGAAATCTATGATGCCTTAAAAATTGTCAAGTACTCGGATTCAATTGATGGTCTTGGATACTATACAACATGCTCGAGACAAATTGCCAGAGTCGAAATACTAGTAAACTAAATCTTATTGATAGAGCAACAATTTATATGCACATGTCCTCGACAAACTATTAGACGAATGTTCAAGAACTCTTAAAGTTTTCAAGTGACTAGCAAACTAAATCTTATTGATAGAGCAACAATTTATATGCACATGTCCTCGACAAACTATTAGACGAATGTTCAAGAACTCTTAAAGTTTTCAAGTGACTAGCGACTTGAACTTGGGTGCACCGTGCACTAATACACTATACAATATACATTATTACCAGAAAGTAACAGCTAGAATTTCTTCACTACATTTTGTCCTCTGCTTCCACTTGCATCCTGCCACAATACTCGAACAAAATTCCTTTAAAACAGCATATAATGGCTTCCTTCGACAGGAAACCATCTCTGACCCTGGCCAGGACGTATAGAATCGCCAATTCCAAGTTGCTTGCGAACCTACAAATGTAAATTTGGCTCAAAATCAAACAGAAAAAAAGCCAGTTTATAGCTTAAGGTCAGTTGCCTAACCTTCGGTCATGTTCCACAATTCTCGAGTTCGTACTTGCTAAAAGCGTTCTCAAAATGTACAGGGGAGTACCTGCATAATTGAATTCAATGTATAGATTCCCCAATAGCTACCAGATGAAAGATATAATTGAGCATACCTTCCTTTCGTGTCATAAGTTCCAGAATCGCACAAATCAATTTAGATAGTCCTTTGTGGCTACGGTGACGTCTAGATCAATGCATTATTGCTTCCCAAGCCATTTTTTAAGAGTCTCGAGGAGGATAATTTTACACTTATCTCACTAAATCACTGAGAAAGTGCTCCGTGATGTGTCACAGTGTCAAAATGGAAGTTTTTTGCCTTCAAGATAACCTTGTGTACGTTATGTATGTATATAGTAAAGAACGGAGAATGTAGCCAACCCTGTATGTTAGGCAAATTGTTGTCAAACGACCTCCCCCGGGCGATGATGAAATACGCTGTATTTATTCAGTCGG